CAAGACTTCTTAGTGGAAGGTGGTTTTGGTGTCAACCGGTGGATGAGGCTGTAAGTGTCAGCCGACTTCGCACATTTGATGTAGTCGGTTTCTTCTCTATCTGCTAGATATAAACGGACGGAAGGGGGAACACGTCTCAAGAATTCCTCAACTAGCATGAGGTTGATGAGTTCTGCAAATGTAGAGACATGTGCTGCTTCCAGCCATTACATAAAATATCTTTTCTTGGTATTGGCAAATTCTAGAAAGGTGGTGGTACTTGCCTTAAGATGATCACGGAATTTTCGTCTGTAGCTTTCGGTGGAGAGAAGGTAGGCGTCCAACACTACTTGCTTCAGGGTCTGGTAGTCATTCTCAGACGCTAAGGTACTGAGAGTAACTGCAGCTCTACCTGTAAGATGCACTCTGAGAAGGGTAGACCATTGATCAGCAGGCCAGTTAAGTTTATTAGCTAGGGTCTCAAAGGTGGTAAAAAAGACATCAATGTCTGTCTCAACGAATGGTGGCATTAACTTACTTGCATGGGAAACATTGAAACTTACTGGAAGACTGGCGGTAGCTTGCTGGCGTTGAGTGAGGTGTGTAGTCTCCAACGTGAGTTCTTGTTGACGGCATTCTATAGCCATAGCCGCTTGCTGTTTGTCATGCTCGCGTTGTATCTCCAGGTGGCGTTGTTTTGCTTCAAGCTGTACTCGCTCACGCTCTCTGAATAGGGCCATCTCATGTTCTTGCTCTTCTTTCCTCATTGCAGCCTCTCGTTCTTGTTCTTCTTTCCTTATTGCAGCTTCTTCTTTCCTCATTTGTAGAGCTTCTTTCGCCAGGACAGCCTCTCTTTCTCTCATGTGGATAGCTTCTTGCTGTTGCTCCCTCTCAAGTTTTGCAAGTTCTAGTTTCAGTTTCATAGTTGCCAACTCATGTTTATCTGTAATAGAATAAGTTTCGTGAGTTTCAGAGTCAATTGTCCCTTCATCTAAGAGGTGATGCACAATTAAGTTATGTAATTCATTTTTGTTGGCTCCATGGGGAACATCTAGTTGATACTCGTGTGCAAGAGTTTGTAATTCATTCCTCTTGGCACGACATAAAGTCCCTATTTCACCTGCTGGATCGTTACGAAAAGCTTGGAGACGAAACATGGTGAAAGATAGCAAATAAATGTACAACGAATATAGTTGTGATATGCTAAATGTCAGAAACAGGATAACGTGGCAACTGGTAACTATCCTGTGGAATTTTAATCTTTAACAATTAACATTAATTATAGGATGGTAAATGATTAGTCAATCAAAATCGCAGGAAATCTTGTACCCGGTACTCAATGTAAGAGAATAAGGGCAAGAAAATCCTACTAAATAAATGAAACTGAGTTTCTAAAACAAATGAAACATATAATTGCTCCAAAAGTGAATTAGGTAGTCCAAGAATGTAGGCATACCTTGCCGAGTCTCTGTAAGACATAAGCAAGGGTTTTCCCACTAAATGAATATGATACTTACAGAATTAGCGAACTTTGTGCTCTGAAAAAAGAAAGCTAATTCCCTACCTAAGTAAATATCATCATCTCTGACCGACTACGTATATATATATATATATATATATATATATATATATATATATATATATATATATATATATATATATATATATATATATATACCCGGATGGGTATTGAACTGAATTGAACTGATCGAAACTGTGAACGCCAAGAAATCCGGACTCCACCTGCCAAAGACCATTTGGGAATATAAACCTGGATATGCGTATGGAAATGTCAAGACACACAAGCCTGTAAACCCACTTCGGCCAATCATTAGCCAGATACCCACACCCACGTACAGACTGGCGAAGCGACTCAACGGCCTGCTGACTCCTTATGTTCCTTGCGCCTTCAGCCTGAAGTCTCCAAAGGAATTTGTTGACTTACTGCGGGGCACACGGGCCACAGGGATAAGAGCCTCGTTGGACGTAGAATCACTGTTTACCAACGTACCTGTGGACGAGACAATCGGGATGATAGCCGACAGAGTGTATCGTGATCCAGCCTGTACTCCTCTTGACTTACCAGAAAATATTCTGAGGAAATTACTCCAAGCTTGTACTAAAGAGGCACCCTTCTTGAGCCCGGATGGGCACATGTATAAGCAAGTAGATGGGGTCGCCATGGGTTCTCCCCTAGGTGTCCTGTTTGCAAACTTTTACATGGGTACCATCGAGCAAAAAGTCTTAGTCGACATGAACTTGAAACCGGCCATATACTACAGGTATGTTGACGACATTTTTACACAGGTACCTGATGTCAGACATCTGCAGGAGCTGAAGGAGGCATTTGAGCAGAGTTCCGTGCTGCGTTTCACATACGAGATGGAAAAGGATGGGAAGCTGCCCTTTCTAGATGTAACAGTCATGGAAAAGAGCGGAGGTTTCCACACTGCAGTCTACACTAAGGAAACGAACATAGGAATGTGCCTAAATGCCAACAGTGACTGCCCAGACAGGTACAAGAGGAGTGTTGTTAACGCATATGTCGACCGTGCTCTCAGCCACAGCTCAGAATGGAAGCAAGTCGACGAAGAACTCTGTAGGGTAAGGCAGGTCCTAGTCAACAACGGCTTCTCCAATGGTTTCGTCGAAGACATCAAAAGAAGGAAAGTGAAACGCCATGCAACCTCTGAAGAGACAACTAACACAACACCTATACCCCCTATTAGACTATTTTACAGGAACTTCTTTTCCACAGCTCATTAAACGGAGGAAAGGGTCCTGAAAGATATTGTTAATAGAAACGTTATCCCTACAGACAAAAATCAGAGGATACAACTGACGATTTACTATAAAACCAGAAAAACGGCCAGCCTACTCATGAGAAACTCACCAGACACAAAGCAGAACGCTATAAAAGAGACCAACGTCGTCTATGCCTTCAAATGCCCTCTTGGGGACTGTAAGCTCCAAAAAACCCAGTATATAGGCAAGACAACAACATCTCTTTCTAGGCGTTTAACGATGCATAAGCAACAGGGCTCCATTAAGGAACATATAATCTCTTCCCACAACCAAACCATCGCCAGAGAAATCTTAGTAAACAACACAGAAATCATCAATAGATACAGCGATAGCAGACGGCTTGACGTTTGCGAGGCACTGCACATTAAGAAGTCAACACCAGCAATCAACAGCCAATTAATGCACAACTATATTCTACCCACCTCATGACTCCGCTCCAATATAGAAGCATCAAGAAATATGGACCAATAGGCTTTCTACAATCACTTCCATTTCAATACCCATTGTTTCGTGTTCTGTCTTGTGTTGATGAAATTAATACCCTATTAAATACCACCTCATCCCATCCACCTCACTCAAATGTAGATATAAACAAATCGGAGATATGTAAGTTCTATTCAGTTGTGTATGTGTAAAGTCTTTGAAAATGTAATAAGTTTTACGAAACGCGCTCAAGTGTCGCGTCAGACTAGAAATAAAAATTAATTTTGGAGAATTGATTTTTAAATTACCTCCAACAGTGAAAAGAAATGTACGAAAGATTGAGAAAATTCGTGTTAGAATTATTAATCTTACTTTTTCGGTCATATTTATTAATATATATATATATATATATATATATATATATATATATATATATATATATATATATATATATATATATATATATATATATATATATATATATATATATATATACACACATATACACTAGCAGTCTTTCTTGTAACCATATGTGTTGAATATGACCAAAAGGGTAAGATTAATGATTCTAACACGAATATTCTTAATATTTCTTACATTTTTCATCACTGTCCAGGGTAATTGAAAAATTAACCCTCCAAAGTTCATTCTCACATTTTTCTGTGAATCAGAAGAAAGAATCGTTTGTCTAATCTGTGAATCATTTTCAAATTCACAGATTAGACAAACGTTCTCCCATCTCAATCATATTTACTATGGAAAACTCAAGCGAAGTATACCACACACTTGCATAAATCATAAGCAATATTTAACACACAGAACTCTTCCCCTATGAGAGAATTGAACTTAAGCTAACCAGGAGTCGTACTGGGGGATTGTTGGAGATTGGAGTTAGGAAGATGGAAATATGGCAGTAGGTGGCCAACGACCCGAACGATGCCATCGTTGGGGATTGGAGTCGTTGAGTAGCCGCCCGACTCTCAATCCTTGTATTGATCTTCTTTGGTGTATTGGTTAGTGTAATGGCTTGCCACCTGGTTAGCTTAAGCTCAGTTCAATCATAGGGGAAGAGTTCTGTGTGTTAATTATTAAATTTTACTTGTGCGTTTATGCGCATGTGTGGTTCATCTGGGCTCGAGTTTTCCCTAGTAAACATGATTGAGATGGTAGAACGTTTGTCTAATCTCTTACCATTAACTGGCGTCGTTGGGGATTGGAGTTGTTGAATAGCCGCTGACTCTCAATCCTTTTAATGATCTGCTATGGTGTATAGGTTAGTGTGCTGGCTTGCTATCTGGTTAGCCCGAATTCAATATATTATATTTATTTAAAAAAAAATTCCAATTGGTTTATTTTAAATATTATTATTATATTTTATTAAGAACATAAATTATTGACTTTCTTATGTTAGCTTAGGTTAGGTTAAGATAGGATAGTTTAGGTTAGGTTAGGTAAGGTTTGGTTAGGTTCGGTCATATATCTACGTTAGTTTTAACTCAAATAGAACAAAACGAACTCATTCAAAAAGATGGATAACTTTATCATTTCAACGAAAAAACATATGTTATTAAATATGACCGAAAAAGTAAGATTAATAATTCTAAAACGATATTTCTCAATACTTCTTATGTTTCTTTTTGCTGTCGATGGTAATTGAAAAATCAATTCTCCAAAATACATTTTTGTTTCTAGTCTGCCGCGACACTTGAACGCGTTTCGTAATAACTTATTACATTTTCAAAAACGTGACTTGGAATTTGATCTAGTTAATGGACTATATATGTATGTTTCAGGCCTACTGAACAGCAACATTTCCGATGACGTTGCATGCGCTCAAAGAATCTACAGGCAACAAGGATTCAAAGCCTGGTGAGTAGACTTTTGCAGATGGATAGATAAAAATATATGACTTTTAATTTTAAATATATATATATATATATATATATGTCGTACCTAGTAGCCAGAACTCACTTTTCAGCCAACTATTCAAGGCCCGATTTGCCTAATAAGCCAAGTTTTCCTGAATAAATATATTTACTATAATTTTTTTCTTATGAAATGATAAAGCAACCCTTTTCTCTATGTATGAGGTCAATTTTTTTTTTATTGGAGTTAAAATTAACGTAGATATATGACCGAACCTAACCAACCCTACCTAACCTAACCTAACCTATATTTATAGGTAAGGTTAGGTTAGGTAGCCAAAAAAAGCTAGGTTAGGTTAGGTTAGGTAGGTTAGGTAGACGAAAAAACATTAATTCATGAAAACTTGGCTTATTAGGCAATCGGGCCTTGAATAGTAGGCTGAGAAGTGCGTTCTGGCTATTAGGTACGACATATATATATATATATATATATATATATATATAAATATATATATATATATATATATATATATATATATATATATATATATATATATGTCGTACCTAGTAGCCAGAACGCACTTCTCAGCTTACTATGCAAGGCCCGATTTGCCTAATAAGCCAAGTTTTCATGAATTAATTGTTTTTCGACTACCTAACCTACCTAACCTAACCTAACCTAACTTTTTCGGCTACCTAACCTAACCTAACCTATAAAGATAGGTTAGGTTAGGTTAGGTAGGGTTAGTTAGGTTCGGTCATATATCTACGTTAATTTTAACTACAATAAAAAAAAAATTACCTCATACATAATGAAATGGGTAGCTTTATCATTTCATAAGAAAAAAATTTGAGAAAATATATTAATTCAGGAAAACTTGGCTTATTAGGCAAATCGGGCCCTGAATTGTAGGCTGAGAAGTGCGTTCTGGCTACTAGGTACGACATATATATATACATATATATGTCGGACCTAGTCGCCAGAACGCACTTCTCGGCCTACTATGCAAGGTCCGATTTACCTAATAGGCCGAGTGATTTTTGTTATTTTCAATCAATTGTTTTCAATCAGTTTATTTGAATTGTTATTATTATATTATATTAACAACATAAATTATAGATTTAGTTGTGTTAGTTTAGGTTAGGTTAAGATAGGTTAGGTTACATTAGGTAGGGTTGGTTAGGTTCAGTCATATATCTACGTTAGTTTTAACTCATATTTAAACAGATTAACTCATACAGAATGAAATGGATAACTTTATAATTTCATAAGAAAAAATTAGAAAAATATATAAATTCAGGAAAACTTGGCTAATTAGGCAAATCGGGCTTTGCATAGTAGGCTGAGAATTGCGTTCTGGCTACTAGGTACAACCACACACACACACACACACACACACACACACACACACACACACACACACACACACACACACACACACACACACACACAACACACACACACACACACACACAGACCTCATCCCCTCAACCCCAAGAACCCACCCAGACCTCATCCCCTCAACACCCAAAGCCTACCCAGCCCTCACCCCTCCTCATCCCCTCTCCTTCCATGTGACCCCCCACCCTTGCGAGGGAGGTGGGAGGTCCCCCCCACCCCCTCTATCCTTCCCCCTCCCAACCTCTCAACCTCTATCTGTCTCCCAACCTTACGCTATCTCCCAATCCCTCTATGCCCTCCCTAATCTTCAGACCCAGTATGCCCTTCCTACTCCAGACCTACCTACCCAGGCCCTACCCCAGACCCTCCTACCTACTTTCCTAGAAGCCCAGCCCCCAGTAGCCCCCCAAGCACTCTTTCTGAACACCCCCCTCCTGAACTCTTTCACCCCCCATACACCCCCCGGACCCCCCCAGACACCCCCCGGATCCCCCCGGACATCCCCCGGACCCTCCCCGCCCCCAGTCATCCCCCAGACACCCCCCAGATCCCCCAGATCCCCTCTGCCCCAAGTCACCTCCCAGACATCACCCAGATCCCCCCAGACCCCCAGAGAAAGGGAGAACTCTGGTACAAGAGTTTCCATGAAGAATCTCAAGGTTTTGTACACCAATGCTGATGGGGTATCTAATAAAGCAGAAGAGATAAAAGAAAGAGTGAGTGAAGCAGATCCTGACATAGTTGCAATTGTGGAAACTAAAATTAATGACATGATCTCAGATGCAATCTTTCCTGAAGGGTACCAGGTGATACGAAAAGAGAGGACACAGAGACAGGGAGGGGGAGTAGCACTCCTAATAAAGCGGAAATGGAAGTTTGAAGACCTGGGAAATCGAGTTACCAATGAGTGCACAAGCTTCATACATGGAACTCTGACAGTAGATGGGAGGAAGATTGTGATCCTGGTAATCTACAATCCCCCACCAAACAGTAGAAGACCCAGGCAGGAGTATGATGACAACAACAAAGCATGTATAGATGAACTGCAGAAGGCAGCAACACTAGCCCACAGAATGAGAGCGAAGCTGCTGATCATGGGGGACCTAAATCATGGAGAGATAAATTGGGAATCAAGGAATCCCCATGGAGGGGACGAAACGTGGGGAGCAAAATTAGTAGATGTTATAGACAGGAATTTCCGGACACAACATGTGAAGGAAGACACAAGGGAAAGAGGAGGAGATGCACCGAGCCTATTAGACCTGATTTTCACCCAGAACGTAGAAGATATCGAGAATTTAGAGCATGAAATACCTCTAGGGGCCAGTGACCATTGTGTCCTAGTCTTTGACTACATGATGGAATTCAAACTTATGACCATGGGACAAGAGATCTGGGAAAGGAGAGCTGACTACAGGAAAGGGGACTATATGAGGATAAGGGACTATCTGGGTGAAGTGCAGTGGGAGGAAGAAATTAGAGGAAAAACAGTCCAAGATATGATGGACCTAGTCATACAGAAATGCCAGGAGGCCGAAGAGAGATTTATACCAACGGTAAAGGGAAAAAATAAGAAGGAATATAATAACCCATGGTTTAATAGACAGTGTCAGGAAGCAAAAATGGCCAGCAGACGGGAGTGGAGGAAGTACAGAAGACAAAGAACAGAGGACAACAGAAGCAGATACAACAGAGCTAGGAACGATTACATTAACATAAGACGAACATCGGAAAGGGACTATGAGAACGATATTGCAATCAAAGCGAAAAAACAACCTAAGTTACTACACAGTCATATAAGAAGAAAAATGTCGGTGAACGACCAAGTGACAAGACTAAGGAAGACAGAGGGGGCATATACTGAAAGTGACAAGGAAATCTGCGAGGCACTGAATGCCAGTTTCCATGGAGTGTTCACTACCGAGCCTGAGCAGCTCCCATTGTTGGAAGGGGTTACCCTAGATGAAAGACTATCAGATATAGAGGTGACAGCAGAGGAGGTAATGAAACAGTTGACAACTCTAGATGCAACTAAAGCAGTTGGACCAGACAAAGTATCACCGTGGATACTAAAAGAAGCAGCACAGGCCCTCAGCGTGCCTCTGGCAATGATCTTTAATGAGTCACTTATGTCAGGAGAATTGCCCAGTTGCTGGAAGAAGGCAAATGTCGTGCCGATGTTCAAGAAAGGAGATAGGGAGGAGGCACTTAACTACAGACCTGTATCACTGACAAGCATCCCCTGTAAAATACTGGAAAGAATAATTAGGCTGCGACTGGTTGCACACCTGGAGAACATTAGGTTCGTGCACAAACATCAACATGGGTTCTGGACAGGGAAATCGTGCCTAAAAACCTTCTGGAATTCTATGATAAAATAACGAGGATAAGACAGGACAGAGATGGTTGGGCAGAAAAAGCCTTTGATACAGTACCGCACATGAGACTGCTGTTCAAGCTCGAGAGGCAGGCGGGGGTGGGGGGAAAGGTCCTAGAATGGATAAGGAACTACCTAACAGGAAGGAGCCAAAGAGTTACGGTAAGGGGCGAGAAGTCGGACTGGCGAACAGTAACAAGTGGAGTACCACAAGGATCGGTGCTGGGACCAATTCTATTTCTTGTATATGTTAACGACATGTTTACAGGCGTAGAGTCCTACATGTCGATGTTTGCGGATGATGCAAAGTTGATGAGAAGAGTTGTGACAGATGAGGATTGCAGGATCCTCCAAGAGGACCTGAACAGATTGCAGAGATGGTCAGAGAAATGGCTACTAGAATTCAACACGAGCAAATGTAAAGTTATGGAAATGGGACTAGGAGATAGGAGACCAAAGGGACAGTACACAATGAAGGGGAACAGCCTACCTGTAACGACGCGTGAAAGAGACCTGGGGGTGGACGTAACACCTAATCTATCTCCTGAGGCACATATTAATAGGATAACGACAGCAGCGTACTCTACACTGGCAAAAGTTAGAACATCATTCAGAAACCTAAGTAAGGAGGCATTTAGGGCGCTTTACACTGCCTACGTAAGGCCAGTCTTAGAGTATGCCGCCTCATCATGGAGTCCCCATCTGAAGAAGCATATAATGAAACTGGAAAAGGTTCAGAGGTTTGCAACGAGACTCGTCCCAGAGCTACGAGGGATGGGGTATGAAGAGCGCCTGAGGGAACTGTGCCTTACGACACTAGAAAGAAGAAGGGAGAGGGGGGACATGATAGGAACGTATAAGATACTCAGAGGAATTGACAGAGTGGACATAGACGAAATGTTCACACGGAATAGTAACAGAACGAGAGGACATGGATGGAAGCTTGAAACTCAGATGAGTCACAGAGATGTTAGGAAGTTTTCTTTTAGCGTGAGAGTAGTGGGGAAATGGAATGCACTTCAGGAACAGGTTGTGGAAGCAAATACTATTCATAATTTTAAAACCAGGTATGATAGGGAAATAGGACAGGAGTCATTGCTGTAAACAACCGATGCTCGAAAGGCGGGATCCAAGAGTCAATGCTCGATCCTGCAGACACAACTAGGTGAGTACAACTAGGTGAGTACACACACACACACACACACACACACACACACACACACACACACACACACACACACACACACACACACACACACATATATATATATATATATATATATATATATATATATATATATATATATATATATATATACCAACCCTACCTAACCTAACCTAACCTATCTCTATAGGTTAGGTTAGGTTAGGTAGCAGAAAAAGTTAGGTTAGGTTAGGTTAGGTAGGTTAGGTAAAAAAACATTAATTCATGAAAACTTGGCTTATTAGGCAAATCGGGCCTTTCATAGTAGGCTGAGAAGTGCGTTCTGGCTACTAGGTACGACATATATATATATATATATATATATATATATATATATATATATATATATATATATATATATATATATATATATATATATATATATATATATATACAGTTCTGGTTCTATATATATATAGTTCTGGTTCACATAACGTGTCATTCTTAATGTCATCTGGCGTTGTCCTCCGCCACAGGTACGCTTGGAGGAGCCACTGCAAGAACAGAGATCTGGATAAATACATTTCCGTGTGCTTCTAGGCCAGGGATCTTGGATAACTTTACCCCAGATCTGTGTGTGTTACAATGTTTTCCCATTCGATTTCAGTTAACAAAAACAAGCTATGTAATTAAAATAGCACTCATTCAAAAATTAATAAAAGTTATTAAAGAACTCAAGCGTTTCATTTAAAGCATTTCCTCTTAAAGTTCTGGAAATTGGTGCTGTTTTGCTTTTGATAAAACAACACGGATGTCAGGACTTTCGGATGTCAGATCAGCTTGGATGTTGTCTTCAGGGGTCCAGCCCTAGTCTATACTGTATTGACAAGTTCATAAGCGTCGAGACACCTTGTTCATAAAGGTAGATTGTTGCAAAACGCAGAGCAGCATTATTGTCGCGTCCACATGTGCAAATTTAAAATCCTATCAGTCTTTGACATTCAAAATGATGAGAGATTTGAATTGTTCTGAAATTCTAAGCAAGCTTCACTGTCGGAGGGAAGATCAAGACGTGTCTCTGACAGTCTGTCTGGCTCGTCAGGACCATCAGCAAGCTGACAGTTGAACGGATTTACAACCCAACTGACAGTATATGAATCAAGCTCTGAGAATGTAATCAGAGAACAGCTTTTTGAGTTCAGTCAGGCGCTTTGTAACTGAGTCTTTGATGTAACAGAGCTTAATCAGATGCCTTTAACTGACTCCTTGATGTTGAAAAGCTTAGTCAGATGCCATGTAAGTGACTCCTTGATGTCACAAAGCTTAGTAAGATGCTTTTAACTGACTACTTGATGTTGAAAAGTTTAGTCAGATGTTTTTAACTGACTCCTTGATGTCATAGAGACTGAAATCGTCACACTCTTCCAAAAACTTTGCTAGCTTTAAAAAGACGGCTATCATCTATTGTTCCACTTCCTGGTTACAATACAGAAGCTTTGTTCCAAATGTTGAAATCTTTTCTCATGTAAAATGACTTTGACGTTCTTCTGTTGCCTTGCACTGTGGAATGAATTCACCTGCCCAAAAATGTCAGCACATGTGTGATGTGCAAGTCAAGTGGAGGTTCTCAACTTGCCTGCAAGGGTATGTTTTTAATCCACCAGAATGATTTTTAGTTCAGTTCTGAGAGCCCACACACGACTCTGAACATTTCTGCGTGAGAGCCACCTTACTTCTATATATTCAGCCTTCTGTAATATTCAGCCTCCCTATCCTCACATGAATCACGAAACAGCCGCGTATTTAGTATGTGACCTTTGACACCATTGTCACTCTTGATTACATTGTTCATGACAGCCTCCAGTTCAGGTTCCAACTGCTCCACAATCAATGTCTGGCAATGGGTCATATAGTGGGCAACTTCTATTTTGGGAATCTGCTTTTTTGCCAAACCAAAAAGCCACTACCATGACCCAACATGGCTGCAGCTCCACCTACACACACAGACCAATACAGTTTACCAAGTTTTAGTCAACACTTTGAGTTTTGAACTATACATCCACCTTGTTGAAGACATCAGTTCATCGAGCTCTCATCTCATGTAGAGAACAGGAAAATACTTCTTTGATTGCATCAGAACCGCTGTAGTGAACACACGGCATCAGCTGCGAATTGCTACTGACAACAATTGTCTAGTCAAGTTGAATAGCAAAATATCACTTCTTCCCTCACACTTTCTGTAAAAATGATAAGTTACTCTTTCACAACTCTTGCAGACTGCGCCACGACATAGTTAAAAGAATTGCAACCTGGAATGCTACTGCCCTCACAAGGCTCCCGCAGTTTCTCCGAAGCACTGACCGCGGTTTTACACAATTCTCCCATGCACCCGGGCTCTGTCAACCAAATGTTCTACCTCTTCGTCCTTATCTTAATACAACTGAAATACAATTGAAGTAAGGCCGAAGAGGTAGAACATTTGGTTAACAGAGCCCGGGTGCATGAGGGAATTGTTCGAAACCCTGGTTTCTGCTTCGACGAAGCTGCGGGAACCTCGTGAGGGCGGTAGCACTCTTCGTTGCAATTCTTTTAAATATGTCGTGGCGCAGTCGACTAAGGCGCGTCTGGGATAATAACGGACGTAGTTTCGAACCCTCATCACGGCCTTTGTGGATTTGTTCATATGATGAATCACGCTATTGTGATTTCTGTGTGTATGCTTTATATGTCGTCAATGAAAACCTGCTTTATATATAAATGAAAACCTGTTGTATGTATAAGTAAAAATCTGCTTTGTCATCAATAAAAATTTGTTTTGTGTATCAATTCAAAAATAGCTTTATATATCAAATCTCTAAGTGTGCTTTATATATCATCCCTCTAAGTGTGCTTTATATATCATCCCTCTAAGTGTGCTTTATATATCATCCCTCTAAGTCTGCTTTATATATCATCCCTCTAAGTCTGCTTTATATATCATCCCTCTAAGTCTGCTTTATATATCATCCCTCTAAGTCTGCTTTATATATCATCCCTCTAAGTCTGCTTTATATATCATCCCTCTAAGTCTGCTTTATATATCATCAATGAAAACCTGTTTTATATATCAAAGAAAACTTGCTTTATATTTCACTGAAAACCTACTTTATATTTATCACTGGAAATCTGTTTTATATTTCATAAATAAAAATCTGTTTTATATAATAATGAAAACCTACTTTATATAATTATGAAAACCTACTTTATATAATAATGAAAACCTACTTTATATAATAATGAAAACCTACTTTATATAATAATGAAAACCTACTTTATATAATAATGAAAACCTACTTTATATAATAATGAAAACCTACTTTATATAATAATGAAAACCTACTTTATATAATAATGAAAACCTACTTTATATAATAATGAAAACCTACTTTATATAATAATGAAAACCTACTTTATATAATAATGAAAACCTACTTTATATAATAATGAAAACCTACTTTATATAATAATGAAAACCTACTTTATATAATAATGAAAACCTACTTTATATAATAATGAAAACCTACTTTATATAATAATGAAAACCTACTATCATCGATGAAAATCATACATCACATTACGTGTGTACTCACCTAGTTGTGCTTGCGGGGGATGAGCTTTGATTCTTTGGTCCCGCCTCTCAACAGCGGGACCAAAGAATCTCTGCACCAGAATCAACTGGTGTAGAGATTCCTGAGCATATTGGCCTCTATTATATCTACATTTGAAATTGTGTATGGAGTCTACCCCCACCACATCACTGCCTAATGCATTCCATTTGTTAACTACACTGACACTGAATAACTTCTTTCTAAGGTCTCTGTGGGTCATTTGGGTACTAGGTTTCCTCCTGTGTCCCTTTTTTCGTGTCCCACCCGTGTTAAAGAGTTTGTCTTTGTCAACCCTGTCAATTCCTCTGAGAACTTTGTAGGTGGTTATCATGTATCCCCTTACTCATCTGTTTTCCAGGGACGTGAGGTTCAGCTCCCTTAGCCTTTCCTCGTAGCTCATACCTCTCAGTTCCGGACGAGTCTGGAGGCATACCTCTGCAACTTCTCTGACTCTGTCTTGTGTTTAACTTGGTATGGACTCCTGGCTGGAACTGCATATTCCAGGAATCGTCAGACATAAGTGGTATACAAGGTCCTGAACGATTCCTTACACAAGTTGCCGCTGATGATATCCTTTAGATATGGGCCACTGGGGACAGGTTCGGTGTTATATCAACCCATAGATCTTTCTATCTATTTGACTGTGTCAGGAATTCACCTCTCAGATTATACCTTGTGTTCAGCCTTCTGCCCCATTCGCCTAATTGCATTACTTTACACTTTCCTGAGTTTAACTTTTGTAGTCATTTTCTAGACCATTCCTCCAGTTTGTCCAGGTCGTTCTGTAGTCTCTGTCTGTCGTCTTCTGTCTTGATTCTTCTAATAATTTTTACATCATCAGCAAATATTGAGAGGAACGAATTCTATTCCCTCTGGAAGATCGTTTGCATATATTTTAAACAGGATGGGTCCAAGTAGAGAGCCTTGTGGGACTCAGCTGTTAACATTTCGCTACACTGATGTCTTCCCCTCACAGTTTCTCTAAGTTTCCTGTTGCTTAGATTCTCCCTTATCTAATAGAGCACCTTACCTTTAATTCCTGCGTGATGCTCCAACTTTTGTAAAAGCCTTTTATGGGGTACTGTGTCCAAGGATTTCTGAAAGTCCAATAAAATGTAATCTGCTCACCCTTCTCTTTCTTGCCTAATTTTTGTTGCTTGGTCATAGAATTCTATTAAACCTGAGAGGCACGATTTATCATCCCTGAACCCATGCTGGTCTACAAAGCTCTTTCCTTACAAATGTTTTACGAGCCTTTTCTTCAGGATCTTCTTCCATCACCTTGCATGGTATACAAGTTAAGGAAACAGGCCTGTAGTTCAGTGCCTCTTGCCTGACACCCTTTTTGTATATTGCGCTTTCATTAGCTGTCATCCAGCTTTCCAGTTGGTCTCCTGTTTCCAGTGACCTGTTATACACCATAGAGAGTGGTACACTTAGTGCTTCTGCACCTTTTTTTAGTATCAACAGTGAGATTCTGACAGGCCCAACTGTCTTTGACACATTTAGCTCCAACAGATTCCTTTTGACCTCTTCAATGGTGAGGTCAAATTCCTCCAAGGTTGCTTGGTTTGCCTCTTTCTCATTTAGCACAGGGGCTTCTCCTTGTTCTATTGTGGAGACCTCCTGGAATCTCTTGCTGAGTTCTTCACATACCTCCTTGTCATTCTCTGTGTATCTGGTCTCCCCTTTTCTCAGTTTCATCACTTGTTCCTTCAGTGCTGTTTTCCTCTAGATGTGGCTGTGGAGCAGTTTTGGTTGGGTATTAGCTTTACTCGCGATGTCATTTTCATACTGTCTTTCTGCTTCTCTCCTCACTCTGAGGTACTCATTTCTTGCTCTCTGGTATCTTTCCAAGCTCTCTGTGTTGTGTTGTTCCTGTAGTTTCTCCAAGTTCTTGTACTCAATTGCTTTGCTACCTTACATTCCTGATTGAACCATGAATTCTTCTGT